ACCTTGTTGTCTCGGATTCTCCAGCATCTGCAGTTCCTACTATCTCTGATTCGACTTGTAACTAAAAGGTCAGATATCGTTATTCGTGTAAACCAGTCATGTTGTGCCTCCTGCAAACAACTCAAAGTACCTGGAAAAGGAAGATCAAGAAGCAGTGTTCTCATCAGTAAAACGATAATCTCAGTGAACTCTGTGGATCAGACCGATTCACCCACATCACTGTTTATTTTCATCTGCCTGTACGTGTGTAGTGAGAGTTCTATATTGAGCTTGGTTGGCTCACCGAGCTGGTTTGTTGTTCTGCGCTCGTTTAGTTACCATGCTGGGTAACATCATCTGTGCAGCCCCTGAAGAAGCTTCATCGGAGGCTGCACTGATGACGTTACCCAGCATGGTAACAAAATGTCTGCGGAACAACCAACCACTTCGGCGAGCCAACCAACCTCAACACCCACAACTCGAGCTACAAACCTACTCCAAAACCTTAGAGAGTTCTATACGTGGATTAGACTTATGACTGGTAAGAGCTTTATATGTTAATGGCTTGTAACCGTTCACTTATAGCTAAAATCTATTTATAAGAAATAATAGTTCTTGTTAAGTACAGAAACTGGGCCCTTGCTGTCTACCTGGATCTAAGACAGGCAAATTGGGGAATTTACACACTTTTTAAAAATCTCATTACATTTGAGATGATTCCAGGAATAGCAGGTCTGATTTTCCAACTTGATTTCCTGTGCAGTGAAACACTGGGCTCGTTATCAAGAGTTTAGAAGGGCAAAGGGCCAAGGGCGACTTTAGTGAAGTTTCTATGATTGTCTTGAGAAGGTTGGTGTGTTTACTCTTGTGGGAGAGACCAGAACTAGGGGACTTCTCAAAAAAAACTAGCAGTCACTGTTTTTAGGTCAAAGCTGAGGGGCAATTGTTTGAGACTTGTGCGACTTTAAAATTCCCTGCCTCAGAAGGTGAAGTAGTCTAGGGTTGTTGAATGTTTTTTAAGGCATTTTAGATTTTTGTTAGGCAAAAAGGCCAAGGTAATTGGGGTACTGAGAATGTAAAATGAATGAGTGGAAGAATGGAACAGCTCAACCACGATCTTATTGAACAGCAGAGCACATTTTGAAGGGCCAAATGGCTTACTTCTGCTTCTAATCCATATACATATTCAAAACATACACAATAAGGACAAAGATTGTGTTCCATAAATTCAGTGCTCTTTGACCATGACCATCTATTTACCTAGGTATGTCACATTTCACAGGAACAAAAAGTCAAAACAACTAAAGTATTAAAAACTCTCCATTTATTGAGCCACAGATCAGTGTAATGGTATACATTTAAAGTAAAATATTTTCTATTTCTCCAGTTTAAACCAAATCGTTTACGAATTACAATTCGTACTGCCCAGCAAAACCAGAACAGGAATAAACTGACAACACAAATGAAAAGGTACAAAACCCTCCTTTCTGAATAATGAGACATTTTCTAAATGACCTAGTCATGGTTGAGCATGTTTTCAATTTAGCTGAACAATCACTGCTAAAACATTTCTCCATTTACTTGCAAAAATCCCCTAGAACATCATCCGATAAAGCACCAAGTTTTAGGAAAATCACTTAATAGGTTTCTCCTTATTTCCAAATTTCAATCCTTCTAAAATCAGCGACATTCCAAGTAAATTCCCCCTAAATAAAAAATATAAGCAGCCATGCTTTCATCATGCATAGGTTTCAAGGCACCTTTCTACTTTGACAACCATTTATCCAAACAAACACTTGCCAACATAACAGCTTTCTCTATAGTTCAGTTGCTGGGGAGAGGTCATCAACGCTCTCCGTAGATCCATATAGTTTTACTCCATATGGCACCCCTTATACCATTTACGATGCAATTCATTCTTGGAAGCTTTTCCATGCAGCAACCATCCGTGTGAACATTGGGTACTTTCGTAATCCTCCATTTAAAGGGTTCTTTCAAGGTCTTCGTGACAGCACTGGGCTTCGGTTTCAATATCAGCAGCAACCTCCCAGGAGGTGAAGTCAAGCAGGGAGCTCCTCACTGATGGAGGTGTATGGAGACCATTCCATTTAACTGGGGAGGAAAGCAGATAGTCTTTGTAAGATTCCTTTCCTCGGTTGCTCAAGATTATGTCGCCAAAGTGAGTGCAAATCACAAGTAATTCACTGGATGGGTGTTCAGAACATCTTGAAACAGCGAAAAATCCCTTCTGTTGACAGTGACAAAAATTTCACTTGTGAGAGCAAGTCAGATGGACTGGCCACTTTTACAGTAGACTTTTTGTGGCCAGTGACCATTTTACCTATAAAATAGTTCAGTCCTACAAAAAAGTCATTTGCTTTTGTAAAGCAAGATGATATTTCAGATGAACAACGAAGCCATAAATCAAATGCATGTCCTTGTCCTGGCAGGGCCCCTGAGAGAAGTGTGGACTCCCTTGCTGCTGGAGCAAGATGGGTGGATTCATTTGCTGATTGTAGAGTGGTAGAGGGTGGCTGAAAAACCACCTGACTGGCTGGGGAAGGCAAAGGTGGATCCACCTAGAGGGGGCGAGGTACAGTTCTTAACAGTCATATTGGATTTAAAACATTAGCTGTTTCTCTCTCCACAAATATTGCCAGATCTGCTGAGTTTCTCCAGCATTTTCAGTGTTGGTTTCAGATTTCCAGCATCCCACAGTATTTTGGTTTCATTTGGATACAGGAATGATGCCATGTTGGAAGTGGGTTGGATCAATCCCTCAGTTGTTGACAACGACATTAGATGTGCTGACGGCAAATGAGGGGGCCAAAATTCAAGCCCGAGTTTTGGAGGGAAAATGGAGCACAAACATCATTTGTACCCTAAACCCTCATCACTCCTCTTCAATAGCCATAGAATAGCTCTCCCTCATAACCCAACCTTTACAGATATCCCTTTCTGATCCAACCATCCATCCAAGTCTCCCTTGTACTTCACCTATATCTCCTTTCAATCACCAATAGGCCACTTACTTCACCCAAATCCCTCCTGTTACCCAATCGTCCAGCCATAGCCCATCCTCTAAACATGTCACACTCCCCATCCCACACCTGTAAACCATCCCACCTACACAGCATCTTTCTTAGCCTCCAACTGTATCCCCCATACATGGTCCTCTTCCTCCAACAGTATTCACCACATATCTCCCAATGTATTCCCAATACCCTTCCCATATTCCCTCCTTATCCTCCACCCATGTCCCTACACCTAATTACACATCATTACCACATCTATACCCCAAAAATCCCCCAGACATCCACACCTATAGCTCCCAAATCCCCATTCCTCCCCACCTGTACCTTCCAATTCCCATCATATCCCCTTCACCTTGCCACACACATATACCCCCAAATCCCCTTCACCTACCCACACATATACCCCCCCAAATCCC